CGACTGACGCCGTGCCTCTCTCCCCAGATCACATGAAGGGGCTGCGGGCGACCACCCTGAAGAGGAGGCTGGAGGGCAGGTACGGGCTGGTGGCGGGGCGGCCTCAGGGGAGGCGGCTGAACGTGAGCAAAACAGCGCGGGGAACTGCCCTGGGTTACAAGTGCCAGGATGGGAATAGGACAGGGACACCTCCCACTAGAGCAGGCTGCTCCAAGGCCCCGTACTGCCCGGTCTCGAACTCTTCCAGGGATGAGGCATTACACTTCTCTGGGCAATTTGTTTCGGTGTCTCATCACCCGCACTCATTTTAAAAAAAAACTCCGTCTTTGTATCTCATCTAGACCTGACCCCTTTCAATTTGACGTCAACCTTATTTGTCCACACCATGTCCTTGCAGGAAGTCCCTCTATAATTCTTGAAAGCCCCCTTTAAATATGAAACGGTAGCAGTAATGTCCCCCCAGAATTTTTTCTTCTCTAGGCTGAAGAACCCCTGCCTTCAAAGGAGGGGTGCTCCAGCCCTCTGAGCATCTTTGAGGCCTCCTCTGGACCTGCCCCAGCAGGTCCCTGTCCTTCCTGTGCTGGGGTCCCCAGGGCTGGATGCGGCACTGCACGTGGGGTCTCACAGGAGTGGAGCAGAGGGACAGAGTCCCCTGCCCTGTCCTGCTGCCCACAGTGCTGGGGATGCAGCCCAGGATAAGATTGGCTTTCTGGGCTGCAGATGCACACTGCTGGCTCATGTCCAGTCTCTCATCCACCAGTACCACTAAGTCTTTCGCAGGGCTGCTATTAACTCATTTATTCCTCAGTCTGTTTTGATACCAGGAGTTGGAAGTGTTGGAGAGAGCCAGTGCTGTGCCTGTGCAGTGAAGGGGCCAGCTGTGCTTTCTGAGGTGTATAAGCAAGGAGGTAGCTAGCAGTTTGGGGGAGACAATTATTCCCCTCTGGCCAGCATCTGTGAGACTTTTCTGGGGTATTGTGTCCAGCCCTGGGCTCCCCTGGATGATACATTGATAGGTGTTTTGGTCAGCATCACCACACTGGTCTGGGGCCAGGACCATGTGATGTGTGAGGAGAGGCTGAGAGAGCTGGATGTCTTCAGCCTTAGGAGACAATCATGTATCACTGTTTGCAGGTAGGGGTAGAGGAGATGGAGCCAGACTTTTCATGGAAGTGCATAAAGAAAAGGCAAGGGACACCTTTTTCATTGTGAGGATGATCAAATGTGGCAATGGGCCCAGGGAGGTTGTGGACCAGTTCCTAGGCTCTCTTTGATTTATTAGAGTAGATACTGCATCTCCTCTGATGCAAGCAGAGAATCTCTCTTTGCTCATCCGGTCTCTGTGCATAAGCTCAAGCTTCATAAGGAGTATTCTGTGCTCTGCTGTGTGCTGCCTGTCCTAAATGCCTGTTCCAGGGGTGTGTGCAGGGGTAGAGGAACAAGCAGATAGATCATGACCATGTACCACACACTGCATTTGTGTCTGCACAAAACCATGCAGCATGGGCACACAGGGTCAGTTTTGGATTTGCTGTGCTGAAGAGAAGCCTGCAGGCTTCCAGCTCTGCAGCTCTCCTCACATGACAGGTTTCTGAGTGCAGGGTTTGATGTACTGGGTGCCAGGTGCTGATGTGTTGTTAGACTGTTGTTCATGTCTGCTTTAAAAAACACTTATCTGTGTTTTTTGTCTCCTCACAGCTTGAAAGTTAAACTATACTGCTCACCAGTTACTAAGGAATTGTTGTTGACTAACTGGAAATACAAGTTTTGGGAGAATCATATTGTGAGTTCGTGTTTATTTTGAAAATAGCACTTTCCAAGCAGTGATTCTTAGAAAGAAGCAGCTCCCTGTTCCTCAGGAGTATCTAAATATTGGTGTTGATATTGTTGATAGTGTTTCAGGGCTTATGTACTTCCAACAATGTTTGTGCCTTTCCTGCTGCTTGCTATATGGGATTGGTTTATTGCTGTTGTTTAATTATTTTTCCCCCCACAAAATTTTTCCTTTTCTCTCAACTTCACCTTTACACAGTCTTCATCTTTATACTGATCATTTGTAGATTTGAATTTGTATTTATTTCCTTACCTTGCTTGTGTCTCTTTGCTTCTGTCCTTTCTTTCTCTTTCTCTTCATTTAAAGTCTCTTATTGCTTGAAGTGTATATAATCTGAAGTTACATGATTTTCCTTTTGCTTTTTGGAAAATGGGCTATAACATGAAGAAGTTTTAGTATGAAATAGCTGAAAACCCTAACAAATTAACATGATATCCAGTGTTTGGAGCCAGACTGCAAGGGATCAGTATTACATACAAGTGTAACTTGAAGTTATTTCCTTCCCTTTGCAGATGCAGACATTATGAAATTGAACATGAGTTTTTTTACAGAAATGAAAATAATTCCCTCTGCACAAACACAGGAATATGTGGTCCCGGTGATTTGTGGGCTGTGCTTCTGGTAATAGGAGGCAATAGGAAGTGGATACCACAGAGCTATCCTAGCAAGATCCACTGCTGTGAGACTGGGATGTTTTGGGCTTTGCAGTCATCCAAAAATAAGGCATGTGATCCATCCAGAGGAACAAGAGCTGTTGCTGATAGAAGTCCAACATGCTCTAACTTTTTTAGGAAGGCACCCCTTCATTGAGGTATTGCCATTTAATTTTTAGATAACTTTTAGGAAAATTTATTCCACTGGAAATGGAAATTTATGACTTACTATGAGAAAATAAGTTTAATTTTACAGGCTTAGCATTAGCCATGGTGAGTGCTAGAGATGTCTACATAATAAATACCTAGACATAAACATGAAACAGAATGTTCAGTAAATCCTGTAATGCAATTAATCATTTTATTACAGGTTGCATTGGAAGTTGAAACTCCAACTCAGATTTCTTTGGAAGATGAAATATCTGGTGAGGTAAGTTACAGGGAAAAAAGATTCATGTGTCAGTCATGGGCAGTAATGCTGTTTACATGAGTACAGGAAACACAGCTGCAGCTTCTGAAGTGCACAATCTATTTTTAAAATGTATGTGCCCCTCCTCTCTTGCAGTGACAGAAAAAGGGGTGATAGTTTTAAACTAAAAAAGGGTTGATTCAGACTAGATATAAGGAAGAAGCATTTTACAATGAGGATGGTGAAACCAGAGAGATGGCAACACTCTGGTTGCCCAGAGAGGTGGTGGATGCCCCATCCCTGGAAACATTTAAGGTTGGGATGAAGCTCTGAACAGTCTGATCTAGTTGGAGATGTCCTTGCTTATTGCAGGGGAGTTGGACTGGATGAACTTAAAGGTCCCTTCCAACCCAACTATTCTGTGATTCTGTATTTCCTCAGCAGGAACCAAGGAAGTAGAACTGTCTACTGTCCACCTTTATAAGCACCATACAATACTTGGTCCTCTCTTCTGCCATGACAGGATGTTGGTTGTTCTGTTAGCTTGTTACAGTCTGAAGAGACTCTCTGGTTTTAAAAGCAATGCTAAATGCTGCAGGAGGCTGTGGGGAGTAATACACTGCTCTCACTTTTGCTGACAAAAATACTGGTAGTACCTACTACAGTCTGAAAATAATGCTAACCCCTCTCTTCCAGAAAGAAGATGTAGTGGTGACACTTCTGCCAGCTGGTCACTGTCCAGGTTCAGTCATGTATGTCCTTTCAATACTTTAAATGTTTCACCACCTGGCATTTAATGAAGATTTTGACCCAAGTGTTGCTGTGTGCAGGTTTCTGTTTGAAGGTGAGAATGGCACTGTGTTGTACACAGGCGATTTCAGGCTTGCAAAAGGAGAAGCAGCCAGAATGGAGCTTTTGCATTCAGGGACCAGGTGAGCTATTTGTGGAATATAGAAAGAACAGATGATCATATGGCATGGACAATTTGGCTAGGTATTCATTATTTTTTTCCTCATTTTTATTCTGGATTAAATATAATTGCAATACTGCAGTTACAAGTCCCTTCTGATGTATTCTTTGTAATCAAGAGGTAGAATTATCTCCTTTTGAAGTGGTGGTTAGCACCGTGCTGCAATGTTTACTCTGATATTACATTTCTATCCTCCAGGGTAAAAGACATCCAGAGTGTGTATTTGGACACTACTTTTTGTGATCCCAAATTTTATCATATACCAAGCCGGGTAAGTCTGATAAATTGTTAGAAGAAAGGCCTTAAAACTGTTAATTAATTAACTACCCCTTTGTTAGGTAAGTCTTGTAAGGCAATGCCATTTTGCATTACTAAATCACAGCACTTTGGCTGTATGTTCCAAGATGACTGACAGCATTTTCTACACTTTTCAGGAGGAATGTTTAAATGGGATCTTGGAGTTAGTGCGAAGCTGGACCTCACTGTCTCGTAATCATGTTGTGTGGCTGAACTGCAAAGCTGCTTATGGATATGAATATTTGTTCATAAACCTCAGTGAGGAACTCGGAATCAAGGTAATGTTTCTCTAATTGTTGCTTTAGAACAGATCCTCAGTAATGATTGTGGCCAACACCAAGCTGGCAATGGCTGTTCAGAGGTCTGCTCTAGGTCAAAGTTATGCCTATTTCATTAATTTCCCTTAAAAAGTGCAGTTGTGCTCAAAATGAGGTAAGTAGTTGACTTCAGTCTGGAACATCTGGACTTTCCAAAGAGAAGTTAATTCCCAGTTTTCAAGCTCAGTGTTTACCCTAGCTCCCTTTTATTTTGTGAATGATAAAAGTCATTTGCATACAGCATTAATAGTTAATATATATATTCTGGTTTTCTCGTGAGTATTCCTCCTTCAGTATAGGTGGTATATTCTGCTTGTTCTAGATGTCCAAGTTTTGGCTGATACCTCTCTGCTTGCACATTATTTGGAGTAAAAATTTAAATGCCTGCTAGCATTTAGGGAGAGCAGAATCACATCTATATATGTGCTCCAGCTGCAGTCTGGCAAACACATTGAACTAATAAAGAGTCAACTCTGACTTTCTCTAGGTGCACATGAACAATCTTGATATGTTCAGGAACATGCCAGAAATCCTGTGCCATGTTACCACAGACCAACACACGCAGATTCACGCCTGTCGACATCCTCGGGTGCGTTTGTTCAGCAAAGCCTCCCCTAACTTTGCTGTCAAAGTGTGGTTATAGGTGCAGATGTTTGGGGCCTGTTGGGTTAGTGAATACTGGTGAAATCATGATTTTATGTAAAGCAGAGTGAAAACCTTAGTGGGTTGAAGTTCTTTGGTTTTGTTTTTTTTTAAAGCAAAAAAAGGGAAAACATATTAGCTTATGCTAGAAGTAATTTAATTGTATTTGAAGCCTGAAAATTGTGTTTTTAAGTGAAGTGAGACAAGCAGCAGAGTAGATCAACGAGGTATTACCCATTTCAGTGTATCAAAGGCAGCTCAGATGGTGCCTGCTGCAGGCACACACTGTGTGGTTTTAGCATGTGGCCATCCATTTCCAGGATGTCAGTCAGGCTGGAGGATCCAGCTTGGAGGAACACAGGTAGAACCTGAGATGGCACATCTCTCTGTGGGTAAAAGACATCCAGAGTGTGTATTTGGACACTACCACAAATCTCTGGCTGATTTGCTTTGCCAGCTGCACTAAAGAACCAAGGTGTGACAGGGTCTTTCAAGAGAATTAGAAGGGAGAGAGGAACTTGGTTTGGCTGGATACTAAGCTGCTTAATTTCTGGGTAGAAAAGGTCACTGTTGAACTTAATTTTATATCCATCGGACAGGATGATGAGTGCTTCCGAGGGAACAGACTGCCCTGTGGGATGACTTGCCTCAATGGATCTCCCCTGCACATAATCAGCATCAAACCCTCCACAATGTGGTTTGGGGAAAGGAAAAAGAAAACAAATGTGATAGTGAGGTGAGCATTTGGGCCACACAGAAAACTGTTGTTTCAGGTTTGTATCTTGTCTGATACGTGTATAATTGAATCTCAGAATGGACTTGAAGAGTAGCTTATGCTGGTTCATTGACCATGGATGAAGAGCAGTTGCCTAATTTCTGTGCCTCATGTTTTTTTAGGACTGGGGAGAGAACGTACAGAGCTTGTTTCTCTTTCCACTCTTCATACAGCGAGGTTTGTATATTTCTAGTACTGAGGATACATTTATTAAGAAAATGTAAGAGTTTTGATTATTCTAGAGTGGATGACATGACTTGTCATAATAAGAAAAAATTCTGTCAGAAATGAGACATAAGGAAATAGGAAGTTCTGAATGCTGAAGACAGAAATCGGTTTTAATATAGCTGCAGAGGAACTTGTTATGATTACAAGCCTTCTTGTTCTCTGGTCTCAATGTATAGGTCACTTCTACAATTGTTTTGACTGTCTTTCTATTTTAGGTTATTTTGTAACCATGTAATGCCTAAAGCATGGAGTTTTAGTTTACAATACGTTGTTTATCTGCCATGACTCAGATTTGGGTGGGTTTGCCTTCTTTTCTCAGCCCACACATTTAAACTGAATTTTCATACATCCTCACTGCTGCTCTTGCCCCTCTTCCTGTGTTAAAAGACTAAAAGGAAATTGATCATGGCAGCATCCTCCCCACAATCACACACTTTAATTTAACATGACTTGATACAGTTCTAAAAACACTACTTTCTCCTAAGAAACTGAACTGGAACTGGATCAGTGCTAACAATGAACTGTCACCAAGTCTTGCACTACAAAGTGGAGAAAGGCAGTACTGGTTTTAAGATCCTGATTAAGTTTAAATTTGCTGTGCCATGCAGAATTTTGGATGGAGATCCCAGTGTGGAATTTTCTGGTGGAAAATGGGGGGTAGTGTAACACTTCTACCTTCACATGCAAAAATAGATGGGTCCTTCTCTTTGTTTGAGACAATTTGAAGGAGAACACTCTGGAATGAGTTGTCTCTCTTTTCAGGTTTAACTAATCCATTTCTGCCAATAAGGAATGAACAGGAGTAGGTAGAAGTAAAAAAATAACAGTTTCCTAACAAGTGCAACAGCAACAGGTAAAAAATAAGTGTAGATAACTGCTAGATACAAAATTGCAATAACATTATGGGTTACCCCTGGACAGTCCTGCTGTCTGTACATATAGCAGTGTAATCTGCAACCTGCAAGTGTTCCCAGTGCTCAGCAGTGAAAAAGCCTCAGCAGGAGCACCCCAAATCAGACATAGTTCTTCAAGAAATTTACTGGAGATCATCTAGAAGACAACAGAGTAAGGCTTAGAAAACAGTGTGTTTTGTCCTAATGGGCTTTTATAGGGTACTTTTGGAGAGACTTTTGTAATAGGAAAGGAATGCCTGAGCTGCATAACTGGAGACCTGTACTCCAATAAGGAAAATGTCTGTTTGAAAACATAGCAGCAGTAAGGACAAGGAAGCACTGGATCACATTCCAGGTCACCCAGCCTTTTATTTCAGAGACAGTGATGGTCTGTGTAAAAATTGATAATTGCAGTGAGGTGTTAGGTGAGGCTGAGTTCTCAGCATCCTTTCAGGCCTGTTTTTTTGTTCCAGAGATATCCACTTTGGATGTGCTTGTATCAGTGCTGCCTTTAAGTGATATTCTTAACTGTTAATGTAATTTGTTACATTGCTTCTTCTTTTCTGGAATTCAGATCAAGGATTTCCTGAGCTATATCTGTCCTGTGAATGTGTATCCCAATGTACTGCCAGTGGGTGGGACAGAGGACAAAGTTATGGAGATGTAAGTGACAAGTGGCTGCTGGAGGGATGTGGTCCAAATTTTGTTCCTGTAAGGACAATGCACCTCCTGAATCCCAGCCTCTTCAGGAGGGCCATTGCCTTTTGCTTTACTTGTCTGATAATTCAATGTTTCTTCTGTATTCAGTCCTACAGACTTGGGCTTTCTAAAGCACATGTTGAGCTGAGTCTCAGTTTGTATTCTACTTCCATCTGTGTGTAGAGGCTTTTCTGCTGGTAAACTCTGGGAGGAAGCTGAATACAAATTCACCTTGCTGTGTTCTGTGACCCATTTCTATTTGTATTTGCTACTTCTGAGAAGTTTCTTTTAAAGATGGTTTCTCCGGGGACTTGAACTCCTCCCCTGCACAGCATTAGAGAGGCCAGTTCTCCTGCACTGCTGTAGATGTTGGCAGCTTAAAAAGAACCCTCAGGGAGCAGGAGAGCTGTGGTGTTTCTTAGTCTGGACAGAACAAAGATTCCTGTTCCTGTTTCCTTCCCTACTTAGTAAGAAAGGAAACTTCCACTTAACAATCACTGAATAAAGCTGTAGTCAGATTTTGAACCCTGTCAGCTTGCAGTCTGTAAGGAAGGAACTACAAGACAGTTTCCAAAAAATGTACATGTTTTAAGGTAGAAATATGTCCTCTCAATATATTTACCTTTCAGCTACTGAAGCTCACTAGTGAATTAAGGACTTTGTCCTAGGTATTGCTGCCTTTGCTTTAACATTTTTGCTGCAGTGCCTGTGAAAGGCATGGAGCAGTTACTCAGAACAAGTTAAAGGAATTACTTTTGCTCCTGAAAGCATCTGCTGAGTTCTAGATATTAACTGCTCTTTTCATTCCCTTCAGATTAAAGCCATTATGCAGGTCATACAGGAGAATCATGGAACCCAGGTACAAGCCCTTAGGAACACTGAAGAGAGCCCACAAAAGAGAATTATCAGATACAGGTAAAGGTGATGCTGCTGCTGCACTTTAAATGGAAGTCTGAGACTAAGCAGAGGTGCCAAAAGCTTTGGTGTTCACCACAGTCTGTCTGTGTGTTCAAAGCAACAGCTGGAAAGAAGAAATAGAAATTATGTCAACTCAGTATTAGGAGGGTGAGAGAGCACTAATTGTGTAAAAACACACTTGTTTGCAGTCTTATAATGTACTTAATGCTCAACAGCCCTGTAAGTTTTTGGATGGAGTTCCCTCAGTCCCTGGTCAGCCCTAGGAAAGCTTGTTTTAACTGTCTCTGTGAGGCACTGTGATGGACAAGGCAAGGCAAACACTGTCAATATCATCCTGCAAAATCTCCAGCTGGGTTAAAGAACATTTTCCTTGATGTTTCCTAATTCCTAAATGAATTTTTATTAAAACTTTGCTGTCAAGATTTTAGCAGAGATGTGGACTTTTCTTAGTGATTTTCTGTTTGTTTCTTGCCAGATGAAGATGATCTCTTTGATTCAGAATTAATTTCTACAGGGCCTAAGATTCCAAAACAGCAGAGACGAGAGAGCAGGCCCTCCAGCACAGGACAGTCTGAAATTTCTGAAGGAAACATTAATAAGAGCACAGAAAGTTACACAACTTACACCTCTCTCAAGGTAGACTTCATGGATTGTGAGGAATCAAATGATGATGATGATGAAGATGATGAAGAAGAATCTGAAAAAAATACAGTTCAGTTTCTTTCCCATGAGCCAGATACCACTTCCACAGCCAATTTCAATGGAGTAAGTAGTGGCCATCAGTCTAATGCCAATGTCCCCTGCTGGGATGAATTTTTTATGGGTAATAAACTAGAGGAAAGCTCTGAAAATGAGGACAACATCCCATCCTCAGCAGATGCTGGGGGGTCCCAGTCACTCTTCAGTGATTCAGATGGAGTAAGTGACTCAACACACATCTCCTCCCAAAATTCTTCTCAGTCAACACATATATCAGAGCAGGGGAGCCAGGGCTGGGATAGCCAAATGGATACAGTGCTCATCACCTCCCAGGAGAGAAGTGCCCTGGACCTCAGCAAAGGTGGGAGCAGAGCAGTGGTTCCTGTGCTGCAGGAGAGTCCTAAGGACACTCAGCTGGACAGCATCAGGGGGAAGCCACAGTGTCAGAACAGACCTTGTGGCCATGGTGGTGCCTGTGGCTTGAAAAGCAAAGACTGTGAGAAAGCTGCAGAAGATGGTGCTGCCCATGTTCAGGATGTGCTGGTGGAAATAAGTGACAGATGCAGGACTCCTGATCGAGAGTTGAAGAAGGACTCCCAGAGTTCCTCTGACTTTGAAATTCCCTTGACTCCTGATGCTGAAGCGCCTCAGCCAGATAAACTGCACCATTTATACAGGAAGCTTGCAGCAGGTGAAAACATAATCAGTGAGAAAAAAGTCTCCTGAGGACAGGTATAACCAATTACCTTGTGGTAATACCCAGCATATCTATTACTGCCTGAATTATTTTTCTCTTTCCTGTGGGTTACTGTCTGCAGCTATGCTGAGTCACACTTTATTCAGACTGTCAGGGCTAGGTATTTGCAGCCTGTGTACCTTTATTGTTCCTTCCATGAAATACTGAAAAGGAAGTATTCAAAAAGTATTCCCAGGAGGGACAGTGAAAGCCTTTTACCTCTCAAGGTTCAATTCTCCAGGACTATAAGTAGACAAAAAATGGACCAGACAAAACTAAGGGTAGGACACTAAATGAAATTTAGTGTTTATAATGAGCTCTAAGAGTTTGCCTTTATAATGTGATCTCAGGTTTTAATAAAATAGCACACTATTAACTGTGGGGAGGATCACCTAAGAATGACCATGCAAACAAGGCAGTTGTAATTTGGCTTTAATCACTATTACCATTGTTCATCATTATTATAAGAATTTAATTAGTACTTGCTGCAGTTATTTTTAAAAATAACTGCAGAACAGACTAGAGAACTGCTGAGGTTGTGAGGGGGTTTTAATTCGTTTTTAATCAAATTGTTAATTTCAAAAGTCTCTTTTTACACTGAGCTTTAACTCCTGAATTAGGTACTGTGGACTGCTGTCTGTGTTTCACCTCCAACTCTTTGCAAACCACTTGTCATCACTTCCTCTGTGTTCTGAATTGTTCTTCAGAAAAACTTAAAATCCTGTGGGTTCCCAAGTTACCCTGTTCTGCTCTGGCAGGTAACTCAGCCACAGAAGGCAACCTGGTATCCCAGACAGGCTCTTGTACAACAAAACTTCACTTCCTCTGCAACATTCCGTAGACTTCACTGTTTTAAATCAAGATGATACATTCTGCATGCATGTGTGCCATCATAACTCTCTGCCAAAATTCTCAGCTTCTAACATCAAAATGTAATTCAGGTTTTTTCTAAACTGGAATGCCTATGCAATATCCAAACCACAGAAGTCATCTAAAAATCCCTGAGGTTTTCCACCCATGGTCTTAAGTCCCAAAGAATTAAACATACTTTAGCACATCTCTCCCCTCTGAGTGTGCCTTCAGCTGTTGTGCCATGTTTAGTGACATGTGAATGTTAAACCAACCAGCATTCTGCCACAGGGAGCAGAGGCAGGAGGGACAAAGCATTGCCAGAATCTATGTATCATTTTAAGGATATTCAAGATCCATGTATTTTTCCACTATTATCTTTCCTGCTGATTGTGGGATTTATTGACCTAATTTCCAAACGTGATCTACCAACTTTGGGGGTTTTTTAGCAAGCCTGAGTGAGTGGAACTTTTGTTGGACCTACCTCTGTGAATAAAGTCAGACAAAACAAAACCTCTTCTGTTGGCTCATTTCATATCTGAAATGTGCATGTAAGTTCAGGGGTGCCTTTAACAGGATGCTCAAATATACAGGATTCCAGTCTGTTCAAACAAGTGTAAATTTATACCAGTTCTCAGCAGCCCTAAACACATTATTTCCTCATGGTCCCCTTCTGCTGGAGTCCTTACAGTCCTAGAAAATTTGGGTACAGACCAGGAATTAAGAGGTTGCAGTCTTAAGGCAAATTCTACTGCTACAACTAATTTGGACAGGCTAATTTTTCTTTTTAAAAATGACAACAACAAGAGAAAAACTAAATTTAATTTATTTTATCAAAAACTATAGGAAGATAGCAATACTAGAGATGACACAGTATGAAAAGAAAATTCCTGAGCTTACAAACTGCATATTCTAATACAGTTCCTAAAACATACATTAAAATAACCAAAGTATTGACTTAACTTGGAGATTAAATAAATAGACAATAGCTTTTCTTACAGGTGATCTTGCAGCTTTAGTTTTGCTACCAAAAAATAAAAATAAAACCAAACAAAAAAAGAACAGCTGGAGGACAGGTCACCAGCCTCCAAGAAGTGCATACACATGACTGAACTGGTGACCATGATGGTGCCAACAGACCACAAAGCAAAACAAAGGAGAAGCTGGGCTGGTTTAGCTTCCCTATGAAATTGAAAACAGCTTTTTGTCCATTTTCAGTTTGGCAATTTTCTGCCAAGCTCATAAAACCAATAAAAGGATTTTTTAAAGTAACACAGTGTCCCATTAAGCTAATTCAATGACTGCAATCCAAATACACTGTGAATATATAAATATAAAATACTGTTCAAGGCTCTTGTGTTGGAAACTGGATCCATGGGTTTCCTTCAAATAAATAAAAAATACTGCTACCTCCCAGAACGTAAATTAATGGTTCTTTATTTATGGCAGAAGATAACACACATATCCTTAACAAACAGCAGCGTTATTCCAGTGCTGGTGATAACATTCTCTGCCTTTGGAAAAGGCAGACACTGCACCCCAGTACAACTGCCACCTTCTAAAATGCATCTACTTGCAATATTGAAATCAAACTGGGCATGGGGAGAGACAGAGCCTGGGGCCAGCCCTGTGCCCCTGGCACAGGCAAGGCTGGAGGAAGGAATCCATCTCTTGCCGCAGCTGCTCCATCCTGCAGGGACAGCACAGGCTGCAGCGGATTAAGGAGCTGGAGACTGCAGATTCCATCCACACGGAATGCACTGCTCATTTGAGCTACATGCAAGAGAAAGTACTAATGACTCCAAATGAATCAAGATCATCTAGAGTTTGCTGACATTAAAGCTCCACATTCCACTTAAAACTTTAAATTAAAAAAAAAAAAATCATTAGAGATATGGCATGTTAAAAATTGACAAGATTCAGCATATATCAACTGTGGATACAGGTGAGCCTGATCACATCAAATACTTTTAAATCTAAGCAAACTTTCTCCTATTCCTTAAAGAATATAAAGTCTCTGTTTCAACATGTATCTCTGTATTGTAGATTACAAAATTCACACAGCATTTCCAGTGGCCCATGCTCTTCACCAAAAGTGTAAAACTGATTCTGGCTAGTAGCATATAAAATGTCATTTGCTATGAAAGAGCCAGATCTTCAGTACAAATGCAACTGTGCTTCTTAAGGAACAACCTCGAAATGCTCATTTTGAAGTGCTAGTAATTAACATGAAATTTAAGGCATTTTCTAACAAATTAAGTAAACAGTTACATGCTGGGTACTTGACTTCATTCACCTGAGCCAACAGCTGTGCACCTTATAAAGGTAACTAGCTGACCTATGATACATAGCCAGCATCCAGCCATGGAGCATCCATTTATGGAGCAATATTACTCTGCCTGACCCTGTCAACATTTACATGACTGGTAAGCAATCTGCATGTTTCACAAGCTTTGAATCCATGAGAAAAGAGCATGTGGATCATCGCAAGAGCACGGACCTTGGCTGTAAATCCACTCATCACCCACCTCAACTGCTCTTCAGTGGTTCTGAAGCCAAGCAAAACTTAGCCTATGTTATGAATAGATTGAGACAACTTTAAGATGATCAGGAAAAAAGAAAAGATGACTCGGGCAGCTGAAGAACAGCGTATTTCTCAGCCTTTACATTCAAGAACATCTTACAAATGTCTACAGCAAATGGGTATACTCACCCCTAGTCTAACTTCACTGAAGTTAACATTTTTGCAACCAGAAAATATAGGCCTAGTATCTTAGAATCAGGTCACTAGGTGAAAAATGACAGTATGTAAAAATTTAACCAAAACGACTTGTGAATATACATTAATGCCAGGGCTCTTTTGCAGGGCTCTAACAGATAACAGAGCATATCTCCACAATGCATTGGCCTTGTTAGACAAAGGGCTACTCTCCTTAACCTTTTGCTATCTATTTCCAAAGTGTAGCCAGCAACTTGTTTCAGCCATGACTACCAAATTTCTGCAATGAAAACAAGCAGTGAGTGTTACTTCTGACAATTCCATATTTACAAATGCTCTGTGAAACTGCAGTCCTCCTATAGAATCCTAACTAAAAATCAGAGCATAACAACTGAAAACCTTCTACATAACATCAGCTACAAAGTTCAAGTTCTACACTTGGGGTCTGTTAATTCCATTTACAGAAACAATTAGGCTGGAAAAGGCTTTTGAGATCATCATGTCCAACCTATGACCGAACACCACTTTGTCAACCAGACCATGGCACTGAGTGCCACATCCATGCTTTTCTAAACACCTCCAGGATGCTCCTCTCTGAGCAGCCCATTCCAGTGTCCAATCACCCATTCTGTGAAGAAATTTTTCCTTATGTCCAACCTAACTACCCCCACCCCTAGCACAGCTTGAGACTATGTCTCCTTGTCCTCTTGCTGTTTTGCTGGGAGACTGACCCTCACCTGGTTATACCCTCCTGTCAGAGTTGCAGAGAGAGATAAGGTCAGCCCTGAGCCTCCTGTTCTCCAGGTAAATGATGGAGTGGCTTGGAGTGGCATCTACCAGCTCCCTCATCACCCTAGGATGGATCCCATCTGGTCTCATGCACTTATGAGCATCTAAGTGACTCAGTAGGTCTCTAACTGTTTCCTCCTGGATTACAGGGGGACAATTCTACTCCCTATCCCCGTCTACAGCTCAGGAGGCCAGTTGTCCTGAGGACAGATCAACTGTCTTAATGTTGAACCCTGAGGCAAGGAAGGTGTTAAGTACCTTAGCCCTTTCCTGATCTTTGGTAATCATATTCCCCCACGGTGTCCAATAAAGAATGGAGGTTTTCCTTGCCCCTTCTTTTGCTATTAATGTATTTACAAAAATATTTTTTACTGTCTTTTAAAGAAGTGGCCAGGTTAACTTTTAATTGACCTTTGGCCTCTCTAATTTTCTTTCTGCAATTACTTCCGTTGCATGGAGTTCCACAGACATTTTACAATTTGCACTCCTGTGAACCTTTATTTACACACTGGCTCTCCTTAATCCCTAACCCTGGTGCCATAAATGTTATTGCTAATCTCTTCAAGCTTTTCTTTTTATAACATTAAAGCAAAAGAACTGTCAACTCAGAATTCAAATCAAATGTCTCCTTACTTCTCAAGGTACAGAAAACACATAGCATCACTTCATCCCAGTGGAATCAGCTCCTGAAGGCCTATGGCTGAAAGCTCACACTCGAATG